CTTGACAGTAATTAAATGCAATGCATTTTACTTCTTCTCAAAAACCACATTGGATTCCAAATATAAAATAGTGTGATACATCTTGTAAGCAAGAGAACCGTGATGTCAAAAGAAATGTTAGAATGGACACTGAGTTACAAAGCTGGGAGAGTCCTCAATACCTTCTCAGTGTGAGAAATTTGTCAGTCTCTCTCCTTTTCAGGTACGTGAAATAAAAGCTTTTTACACATTATATAATAATATGTTCATTAAATATGACAAGTAATAACACAAAACATGGTATGATTACTAGCATGAGGATGTTCCTCATAAATACTGTGAGAAAACTATATGCAAATACTTTCATGATAGTACTTAAAACACATTGAGTTTTGCTACTATTTACAATACCCCTACCAAGCACTCCCTATTATTCAGAAATTTGCTCTTCCTAAGTCTGTTTACTTCACTACAGGTAAAGCTGCATCCCTTTCTCCCCAGAGATTGTATCTTGCTTAACACATGCAGAGTTGGACCCAACTCCCCATTAGAGGAAAAGCAGACCACGCCTACCCCTCTCAAACTTGTGGGCTTCAAGACTTGGACTCACCACACACAAGTCAAGAAGTATCATAATTAACAATAGACCATTGGTTGTTCCTTTGATCTCAAGGTGTGATTGCAGTGGCTTTACTTGTCTCCCTCGTGTCATGGGTTGGAAACTCATGGGTTGTTGAGATGAAAATGTTTGGGTATATTTAGCAAAACATGTAATTAATGTGTCTGATTTCTGTATGAGACAGAGAATATATATCAAACAAGCCTTTGTCCTCTTGTATCCTTGGGGGTAGCACATCTCTCACCAAGCTTTAAGAGGCACCACTCCAGTATGAAAATCCCCTGCATAAGACTAATGAGACAGAATACCTGTTTGCCTCCCATAATAGTCTCTGGAGAAGAACTCAGGACACTACACAAAGAGACAAAGATGTTCTCTATTAACTGTGGAGCAGTGACACCCACTCTATTAAATGTGGAGCAGCAGTGTCAGTCCTATTTTGATTATGGTTAAATGAATGGGATTCCAGTGCCCAATATAATAAGTTTGGACATACAACTTTCCTTCATCAGCAGGTCACTACGAGGTATAAACTTTAACACAACCCTGAATTCTAATAGAAGCAGCATGTTCACCAGACTCGTCCACTCCAAGCTGCCAGTAGAATTATGCTTTAGATGTGAGACTGCACTACGGTTTTATCCTATATACCTGCTTACTCTGTGAGAAGTCCCTGTACTTTATACTCAATATATAAACTCAATACTTTCAGAAAGCAAGACTAGATTGTTAAACTCTGTCCCCAAGTCACATGCTAACTGCTGCAGAAATCTGAATGTACTAAACATGGCAAAATATGTAGCCCTTTGCTTTTTGCAATGCCTACCAAGGTCATATTACTCAATGTAGAAATTTGCAGACTTGCTTCTCTGGTTATAAAAACACTTAATGCCATCCCAGACAAATAAGAACTGAGACAAGTAAAAGATGCAATTTTAAAAATTAGGGCTTTTTTTTGGTTACCTATTGCTAAAACATAACCTTGTATGTGAAAATTTGAATGGAATGTGCTTTTTTAAGTACTCTTATAATTCCAAGTTGACAAAATAAAAGTTATATGAAGTCAAGACAGTTACACAGGATGCTTTTTTTCAGAATCAACATTTAGGGTGGGTCTTGTGGCTCCTTGAACTAAAAGCACTAAAAACTCCCACTTTTGAATGATCCTGTTTCTCACTGTTGGAATAATAGCCTGCTGTTGCATCCAATTTATTCCCTGCTATCTCTCCTGCCTGAGAACCATCTGAAATTTTTTCTGCCCTGTTTCCCCAGAATTTGAACCAAGGCAGTATGCTTTGACCAAAGTAACTACTTCCATATGAAACAGGTGTCATAGATATAAGATTAAAATAATAACAGTGAAGAATGAGAGAGACTTTTAGATTTAATCACATTTTAGGGTTTGATTACTGGTCCTGAAAACTACAGCTTTGACTAATATCCTCATTCTTATTCTAACTTGTCCTCCCTGGTATGTGCCCCAGGTGTTTGGGTTTAATGGGTTAGATCTACAATGATTTAGCATTTCATTAACTTAAACTTAAAATGAACTTTGAGAAAGGAGTGTTGCAAACCCTGGCACCCAAAGAAATATAGATTTCACTCTCAGATGGGAACGCAATAAACTTTTTAACAAAGAATGTGTTGATACCCAGAAAAGCATTAAAGCCCTGGCTGTATGAGAGGGGTGAGGCAGTTTTAGAGAAAGAACTCACTGTCCTTCCTGACCTGTCATTAAAAGAAATACTGGTTCTCACCACATTTCTTTTATTGGCTGCAGCACTTTGTGGCCAGATCCTTAATTCAATTTCTTCTGGGTGGTATCAATCAGAGCAGAGAAAAAGAAGCATCACTTGCCCTTCTATTATAAACAAATGGTGTCCCTTGGTAATAGAAAATGCCTGCTCTTTCTACTCATGCAGTAGAGCAGACGGTGTCATTCAATTTCCAAGAGTCCTTTAGAAAATTAAACGCCAGCATTTAGAAATATTTTCAATAATTTTAAAATGCCTTTGAAGCAACTTGAAAATATGCAGCTTATTTTGCATATTTCTGTGATTCTGTGTTGGGCTCTTTTGAGATTGTTGTGCTATTTGGGTAATGGTGAGTTATTAATTTCCATAATCTCTATACAGTATCAGAGGGGAAAGCATAGCCAGTGAATGATCTTATAGGCTGTTAGTTAACTTTTAAGACTCAGTGAGCATTTGACCTTCACCTAAGATGGTCTACATTTGGATGAAAGTTGCTTGTGGGTCAGCTAGAAAAGTAGATGATATTCCATCATAGACTTCTCTTTTAACATTAAGAACATTCTACTTAACATTCATATTTCCCCTTCATTGAAATAAATGCTCTTTGTGAGCTTTAATTAAGCAGTCTATTTAAAGAGTGTGCCATTAAAAAAAACGATTTTTACTGATAACAAAGACTTTCTAAGACAAAGCATTAATACAAATATGTTTACAAGGATCTACATGTGATCTCCTCCCTGGGGGACGGACAACAGAAAAGTGGGTGAAGGGAGACGTCGGACAGGGCAAGATATGACAAAATAATAATTTATAAAATATCAAGGGCTCATGAGGGAGGGGGGAGCAGGGAGGGAGGGGGAAAAGTGAGGAGCTGATGCCAGGGGCTTAGGTGGAGAGCAAATGTTTTGAGAATGATGAGGGCAATGAATGTACAAATGTGCTTTACACAATTGATGTATGTATGGATTGTGATAGGAGTTATATGAGCCCCTAATAAAACTATTAAAAAAAATAAATTGTTTTACAATTATAAAGAATTAATGAGATACTATAGATATAATTAATGAAATTAATTCTATTAAAGAAGTTAATTAGTTAAATTAAAGAAATATAAAGACTTAATGGTTTATTTTTCCCCAAGGTATATGTAGTAAATACATATAGTGTATAACAACTTTAGAATCAAAATATTTACAAGTAACTTGAATTAGATATTACCAAATGTGATTCATTTAGGGAATAAAAGATTTTAAAGGTAAGTCTAACTTTCAAATGACCCAGGATCCTTATTAGTTTAAATATATCCAAATAATTAGTTCTGATGTTTCACTGTGACTCAAGGGAAAAGGAAAACCAAAGCCTGAGTTTCATCTGGCCCCAGAAAAACAATTTTGGAAATGAATAAATATAATCTCCAAAATTTGGTGTAAAAATAGTTCGAGAGCCATAATAAGTCAACTGCTGGGCTGCAAACAAAAATGTCTACAATTGAAGTCCAATAACTACTCACAGAAAAATCAAACTGCCTGCTCTCTTGGAGTTTTACAATCTCAGAAACTCTGGGAAGGAAGATTTCTACACTGTCCTATAGAATCCTCATGGGTCAAAATGGACTAAATGACTGATTTTTCAAATTGTAGATATTTTTAAAGAATCTAGAAGATGAAAATTTAGATAACAGAAAAAAGTTTTAAAAGATTAAATTTTATTTCAACAGCAACAAGTGTGTGTGTGTATATATATATAATTTTTTAAAAAATTTGATGCTTTTCAGCTTTTAAAAAATCTTGTGAATTAGGAGGAGGCTTAAGTTTCAGGTCATTATTTTTTTATTCAACAACTTAAAGAGCCTATCTCAATTAGGTATTAAATCAGGTTAACAATATTTGTTATAATTTGAAGTTCACATACCCTTTTAAAGAAAATATATTCTATATTTAGGTTTTTTCCTAAATAGCATGTCCCATATTCTCCTTTTAAAGTAGTCATTATGAGAGATATATAAGAAAAAGATTCAGTCAAGATAGTCAATGTTGTATCTCTCAGACTAAAGTGTAATAGTCTAAGTTTTTGTGGGAGAACTTTAATATTAAATATCACAAATGAAGAATTGGATTTGAACTTTTTTAATGCTTTAAATTATTAACTTGAAGATTTAATACATTCTTTAGGTAATCTGGCTTCCAGGACAGCGGTGAATTGAGTTATTCAAGCTGTGGTTTTCAAAAATGCTAATCCTAGTATAATTTCACAGATTATTATGAATTCCTAATAATTTCAAATTTCCTGGTAAGTCATATGCCCTAGACATACTTCCTGTTTATATTTACCCTAACATGTGCCATGTTTACTTTGTTCCTCACCTAGCCTATGTGGAACTTTTAAAATTTTAACATTTTATTGTGAATTGGATATCAGATCATCGTTATTGTACTGGACACATTATCAACCCTCCCATAGTTTGGTCTATCCACCACCATCATTTCTATCCCACTTGTATGAAACTATTTTCCTTTTAACCCAAGTTAACATTTACCTAGCTACCCTCTAGCCTATTTCTTCCCATTTCTCCTCTCAATAAATATCAAAGTCTGTTTTTCTAAGGTATGAGCGTATTTTAAGTTTTTCTTTTCCTTTTTATTTTCCTCAGGGGAGAGTGCAAACGCAGTCCCCACTACCGCAAATTATGCAGTCGAGTTTCCCACATCTGGGAAAATTGCAGGTGTCAGCACATCCGGAGTGCAATGGATAAACCTGGCCCGGGGAAAACCACCTTCGTGATCATGGTATCTCCCCTGCTAGGTAAGTATAAGTTTTTATTTTTCATAACAGAGATCTTGTACAATATTTGTACTTTTGTGACTAACTTCAGTCAGCATAATGTCCTCCATTGTTACCGTCCAGTGGTATGGACCTGCAGTGAGTGACGACTTGAAGAAAAAGACATGGCCAGTGGACTGATGATCCAAAGGCAAATTTCATTTCCAAAGTACAGCTTTATATATTAATGAGGCAAGGGTGCACGCATAGTGTAACAATAACATCAGGATAACATTGCTCTAAGCACAAACAATTCTGTGGGACTAATCTTATCTTAACAAATGCAGCTATGTTCTCAGTTTACTCATTGCATCTCAGAATTTGGGAAAACATTATAAGGACACAGTGTCTCCAAGCACCCCAGAGAGTCACCAATACACTTCAGTTAAAACTCAATGACTCTCTACAATTCCCCCTTTTTAAATTTATAGTTAACGCTGAAGAGCTATCTGCTGAAGCTGTGCTTTTTCTAAAAAGCTGTAAGGTACAGAAACAAACATTTGGCTAAGCTGAACTTTACGCAAGCTTGGGATCATCCCGCCTTCTGATCTTATTGCAAACCTAGAACAGTATCACACAGAACAATTTCAACTTCTTTACCACCTTCTTCATCACATTATCATCATATCCTTATCACATTCCTTTTCCTATCACATTTCTTATCATATTATTCATCACATTCCACATCACATCCTCATCACATTTCTTATCACATTCCTTTTCTTTCTTTACTGGTTTTTGGGAGCATACTGAGTTTTCTGACTCCGTTTGACTCTCTCCTTTTAACTCCTTCCTTCCTTCTGCTTGGGTTTGCCTAACAATTCTAGTTTTGTTTGCATAAAAGCTACAGTCTTCTTTTAGGGGCCATGCATAAGCTACCTTGTTGACCTGTAGCACTGGTGAAGGCGCCTAGGGCACTTGTGGATCTTAGACAAATTAAATGGGCCACTAATGTAGGAGCATCTCTGGGAGATGGGGTGCTTCCAGTGATTATGCCCAGGTGTTATCTTCCTTCTGTCCCACTAAATAAGTCTTGGGGGATTACATGAACAATATGCACAGCTGATAGTACTCGTTTTGGTTGAAAATAGGGAGATATAAACAAGGAGTGAGTCAAGAGGTACAAGCAAACCAGGTGGTAACAGGGTTTTAAATGGGTTACAATAGATGTGAAACAATGTTAAAAGCAGGAGAGCCACTCACCCAGCATTGGTCTTTAGAGTTAATTTAGCTTGAGTCTCTTTTAGGGTCCAATTCATCCTTTCAACTTGCCCTGATCTCTCAGGGTGCTAGGCACTGCATAAATTTCCAATTTGTGCCTAAATTTTTCCTTAATGTTTGTATAGCTTTAGCAACAAATACAGGTTCATTGTCTGACCCAACGGTGTCAGACAACCTCCATCTAGGGACTTTCATCTAATAACTTGTTACTTACTACCTGAGTAGTTTCTTTCTTGATGGGGAATGCTTCTATTTAACTGAAAAAGTGTCTACAAAAACTAACCATTACTTATAATTCCGTTGTCTTGGTTTAATCTCTGTAAAGTCTACTTTCCAGTGCTTTCCTACCTCCCATCCTCGTATTCTGGTCCCAACAGGGTGTGGAGTGCTAGCAGGTCGAGCTTTTACTTGCAGGCAACACTGGCAGGCTGACCACACTTCTTTGAGGAGTATAGGCAGTCAGCTGCTTCTCCTTCAGGCAGCCTTACCAGGTCCATTGTTAAAGCTGCAGCTCAAGCAGTTTCATCTGCCTTTTGGTTGCCTAGGGCCACTGGGTCTGTTCCTTTTTGCTGGCCAGGGCAATGTATAATAGACACTTTACTGGGCATCCAGATGGCTTCTAACAGCTGCAACAATTCTTTATTTTTAATTTCAATCCCTTCCAAGGTCAGCAAACTCGTTTTTTAAAGGGGACAGGGTACTGATGGACTGCCGCTGGGCTTGCTCTAGGTTTTAGCTAAACCACAACTAGACGTGTGGGCTGCAAGCCCAAGGGAGTTATCTTCTGCCCAAACTCTGGGGCTTCAGTTAATAGTCTTCGCTCATATGCTCAAGAGGAAGGCTTGGTGACTGTCAAGAGATAACTCATTCAAGGGAAGAGTCACAGAGACCTGCCAGGGGGCTTCTTCTTCTGGCCTAATCAATGCTATTTGGGTATTGTCTGGTTGAAAGCTGATCACCCCCTTAAGCTTAGTCCAAGAGACAGTTGCTATTTTGCCTGTTGCTCCTTGAATGGTAATCTTCTTTTTGCTGATGGGACCTGCCGCTTCCTTGAGGACTAAGTGGGTTGCCCCTGTGTCTACAAGGACTGTAACAGGCCTGCCCCTCACTTTCAGGGTTATCATGGGGTTTAGGGGGACAGTGGTGCTCTGACTTCTCATTCCAGTTCTTAGACTGGAATGGTGGAGTCTCTGACCAGCAGGGCTGATTTTCTGCTCTGAGATCATTTCAGGCAGTTGGACTTACAATGTCCCTCTTCTTTGCAATAGGCACATTAGTTCTTGCCTAGTGGTTTCCTTGTATTCTGTCTGTTCTGCCTGCCTGGCCCTAACAGCATTCTGGTCTCCCTGTGGTCATGGTGAGGATTCTGGACATTGCTTTGGCTTGCTTCTCTTCTGGTGCTCTCTATTATTATAAGTGTTTGCTGCTTTTTCTAATAATTCACTAATATTTTTCCCTGAAAACCCCTCTAGTTTCTGTAACTTTTTCCTAATGGTACACAAAAGGTACATTAATGGCCTTGCGATTGATTATCTGGTGCCTCCAGGTCTATTGGGGTACAGCTGATAGGGCATCAAACAACCTCTCTAAATAGGCTGCTGGGCTCTCATCCTTATCCTGAATTACAACTCATTTCTTTGGACAAATTAATAGGACAGCATATTACCACCTGGAGACCATTCATCAGAGTCTGGCAGTAGGCAAGGATGTGTCCCCTACCTTCAGGGCAATTTGGGTCCCAATCAGGGTGGCTAATGGGGAAAGCAGATTCCAACTCCTGGGGCTCAGTCTCAGGTCACCTGTCTGCTCCCAAGACCTGTTTCTGGCTCTCCCTGTGAATGTGATCGTGCTCCTGGGCTGTGCGCAATATCAATCCACAGGATGACATAGATAAGTTGATCTGGATGTCAGACTTTTCCATGTATTTGACCTAAAATGAATGGTCGAACTGGGTGATGGAGAGCAAGATTAAAATTTCCTTCAGAGGGCCATCCCAGGTCAAAGAGTGGCCAATCATAACAGGGTATTGTGATTATTTTCTCCACAAGAGGCAGCCCTTTTTTTTTTTTTTTTAAAGAGGCCAGTGAGCCAGAATGAGATCGAATGTGATGGCCACAAGACCGAAAGACACTAAAACACAGAACAAAAAGTATAAAGACAAACACAACACAGGCACCTCACCATCTCTTTAGCCGCTTTCCACAGAATCTTCCAGTGCATGTGTAGACTCCCAGCATTGTTATGAATAGCCTTATGCTCTTCTGCCGAGTTATGGGTGATGAAAAAAATGGGCTCAGATATGGATGATAAACAGAGGATAGTGACAGTGGTGCAATTACCACTGAGGATATGATAATAAATGGAAAATAGGCTTATCTGGGGACCCTTTCAATACAGCAGTACTAAGTTTAGGTATAGTATTAACAACATACAGAGAATCAGATTCAATATTTAGAGCAAAAGGATTATTATTTATAATGACTAATATGGCATAAAACTCATTTTGTTTTGCAGAAGCATAAGGAGTAATAACATATAGTAGATAAGTCCAGGAAAAGCCCGAACTTTCCTTGGGAATTCCCCATGGAGTCACTGCTCCACAACCCCTCACCTTAGGGAAGTCGTCACTCTTTAATACAATACCAGGTGGCTGATAGCCCTGTCAAGTCCCCATTTGGACACTATATTATTACCATCCAGTGGTATGGACCTGCAGTGAGTGATGACCTGAAGAAAAAGACATGGCCAGTGGACTAGTAATCCAAAGGAAAATTTCATTTGCAAAGTACAGCTTTATATATTAATGAAGCAAGGGTGCATAGCACGCATAGTATAACAATAACATGATAAAATTGCTTTAAGCACAAACAACTCCTTGGGACTAATCTTAACAAATGTAGCTATGTTCTCCGTTTACTCATTGCATCTTGGAATTTGGGAAAGCATCATAAGGACACGGTGTCTCCAAACACCCCAGAATCACCAATGCACTTCAGTTAAAACTCAGTGACTCTCTACACTCCATAAACATCCATTACATGAGATGTTTCACAGTTTTTTCATTACTCATTAGCAATGCATAGTATTCCATTGTGTGTATGCACCAAAGTTTATTTATCCATTCTTGTACTGATGAGCATTTAGGTAGTTTCTATCTTATTTCTATTGTGAAAAGTGCTCTGATGAACTTATTATTTCTTTAGAGGATATACCAAGTAGCTCATTTGCTGAATTATATGATACTTCTATTCCAAATTGTTGGAGGAAGGTTTAAACCATTTTCACATTGGTTGTACTACTTGATGCACACACCAGTAATGTGTGAGGGTTCTAATCCCTCTGAATCCTATTCAGTATTTGTTGGTTTTCTACTTTTTAAACTTTTCTATAAATTCTAAGGTATCTCATCATTATTTTCATTTGCATCTATAAAATGATGAATATTCATGATTATTTATATTTCTTGGTAACCTAAAAGTCTTCTTTGTTAAATTGTATCCTTTATGTTATCTGATCTTTTAAAATTGGATTGTCTTTTCCTTGTTGAGGTGCTGAATTTTTTCCATGGATTATTGAGATTAGTCATTTTTTTTCTCCCCATTATTTGTGGATTCTCTTTTAATTCTTTGGGTAAAATATTTTGATGCATGTAAGTGTTTTAATTTAGGAATTCCTTCTCACCTATTTTATCTTCTGTTCTTTGTACATTTTCCATTCTGCTTGAAAATATGGTTATGCCCTGTATTATGGCCTTCAATTTGTCTGTATT